GCCCCACTCTATACCAATTAAATGTGTATCTCCAGGGGTTGGAGATAAGCTTCAATATTAAAAACAAACAAACAAACAAACAGAAAATCTCTCTAGAGAACTATTGGGGAGGAAACAAAAGAGAAAAGACATGGATTGACAAGCTGAAGTTTTCTATTGTTATGATTAGCCAGAAACTGTGATTATTCATTTCCCATAGGAACACAGCACACAGACTTTACAGCCTAACAGAGTACTTCGGGCAACCATCCCTGCCCTTCACAAAGAACTTTGAGCTATTTTGGCATCTGTGACTGCTAACAAGGTCCTTGCTGGCTTGCTGGACTTCCCATCATGGGGAATCTTCAGACAAGACTGAAGCACCTGTTACATCTGTTAATAGATGTAAGCTCATAAATTCATTTGGTGGTCCCTATTACTTCCAAGGTGAGTCAGCAAGTCAGCACAGATACAACCCAACTGTAGTTTACAGGAAAAGGCACAGGTTTGAAATCAATCAGAGCTATCTTCAATTCCTTGATTCCCTCTGTTACTAGCTTGAATTTAGATGTGTTAACTCATAGATGTGTAACTCCTGTAAACTTGTTTTCTCCTCTGTGAATTGGGACAATGATACTATTTATATCTAGGTAGCCCTGGGATTCACATGAGATCAGGTACACAAGAGATATTTCAAAAGCCTGATGTATAAACTGTTATTTGGTGCCTAGAATTACCTCTTTGACTTGCTCTTTCAAAAGCGAATTAGAGTCTCAGCAAGAGAATTTACTGATATTGGTGTAAATGTTTCTTATTTTTCCAAGGTGATTTACTGACCAAAAAAAAAAATGAATTGTGTGAAGTAGTAAAATAGAAAATAATTTATTCAAATTTTCATACTAATCACATCCATGGCATTTTCTCTTTTTGTCTCTTAACAAGCAGCCAAGTAGAGCTCTTTGAAGATCCCTTCAGATTTTATGGAGAGAAATGTATCTTTTCTATTCCCAATCTCTATAGAATGGTCTAAGTGAAAGGCTGAGACATATTTTACATTTGATTTTCTTTTAAACACAAAGATGTGAGAGTCTCTGTCTCTGTGAGAAATCAAAGCAAAAGATTTGGTCCCTGCTTCTAAGGTATTTCTAGTCTGAAGAAACAAGATATGCACAGTTTATTTAAAAGAGTTAATATAATAAGATTATCTATATTAATAATCTAGTACCTATCACAAAGAGGTTGGATATTTGTTCAACCTGTATCTTTGAACTATTTCTGAGCATGTATCACAATAGTCTGACAAACTCTTATGTGCTTCTTATTCAGATATCCCTTCTTAATAACTTTGGAGGCTTTCCCAGATGCAGCATCTGGCAAGTTAGGCAAAGAAGTGAGTAAAGAAATACTAAGCCTTGCTGAGAACACTGTTAGAAATGCAATCCTACTTTCTAAGATCAGCCTAACAATGGATGAGGGCAAGCAGCAGGCAGGTTCTGTAGAGCAATGGAGTTAGGAAGAGGTGAGGCGTCTGGTGTTGAAATGGGTCCTGATGGTGGGTAGTTGTGGCAAAAGAGACATTTCTACCATGGGAGTGCTTCATATTCTTGGCTAGTATCTCTCATGATAAGTACCCATTGATCAAATGCAAAGACCCGACAGAAATGATAGGTACTACTCAGGAAACATCCATTTTGTGCCAGATTCTGTGCTATTTGCTTCACACGTGCTATCAAAATTATTCCTCACCAGAATCCAGATGGGCATTGATTATCTCCTCTCTTACCAAGGAAGAAGCCAAAACTCAAAAAAGAGAGCTATCTCTACAAAAGCCATACATTTGGTAACAGAATTGAAAACCCAGTTTGCAGAGCTCTAAAAAAATCTTTTCTCTATAGCAGTGTCTTCAAACTGAGATAGCCACACTACTGCAGATTCACTAAGACTTTCTACAGGATACATGGTACAGAACATGTTAAGGAAATTTATTTCCAGGTCCTCCTCCCAAGTATATTTTTCTAAAATGAATCTTGAATGGGAAGGTTCCTGAAGGTTCTCCTTTTTCTCTGCATCTTACCCAATATTTTCTACTTTTCAGGAGAAAAGCCTTTCTCTCATATACCCTAAATCCATTGTCAACAGCACATTCTCAGAGGGGGGTAAAACCTCACAGGTGCCAAACAAGTAGAGCATTCAAAATATGGTGCCAGTGTCACTATAGGGCATGACTTTAATGACTAGGTGGAGATCCCTGGGTGGCGCAGCGGTTTGGCGCCTGCCTTTGGCCCAGGGCGCGGTCCTGGAGACCCGGGATCGAATCCCACGTTGGGCTCCCAGTGCATGGAGCCTGCTTCTCCCTCTGCCTGTGTCTCTGCCTCTCTCTCTCTCTCTCTCTCTCTCTGTGTGTGACTATCATAAATAAGTAAAAATTTAAAAAAAATTTAAAAAAATGACTAGGTGGCAAATATCTTGAGTCATGTGGTTTGTAAATAAATTCATAATTTATAAGATTGCTTACATTAAAGAATTCTTGACTGAGTTGTCAGCTGACAAATCACATTATTTTGATTCTGGATCAGTGAGCCATTTTTTTTGCATGTAACTAAAAGAAAGTTCAAATAATTAAGTGAAATTGCTATAAAAAATCTTTTATTCCCATGTAGTTATTTTTAAGAACAAAGTTTTCTCAGGACTCAGATTTAGTTTTAGAAATTTAGAAAAGAATTTATGTGAAACTTTATCCTTTGCAGCAATAAGTAATATTAATCTATGGATAACTAATTTTTAATTAATGATCTTTCACCAATATTATTAAGAAACAAACTTTCAATAAAATTTTACTCTTTTATATTTACTATTTTGTAAAACATTTTAATATATTTGTGTGATTTTATAAGTTGCTTATGGCTAAGATGTTTAGTGATAAATTAACCCAGATTAATGTTTACATGGAATTTTTAAAAAGTAATTTTAATTTTTTGTATATATTTTCATTGCAGAAAAGCTTTTTTTATCAAGCAAACTTGTATAATACTTAATTATGTTTCTGTGGGAAAGTAGAATAAAAATATGAGATGAAGTCAAAAAAGGTAATCTCACAAAATTTCATACAATATTAGAGATGACAGTGAATAAGGTGGATACATTTTTTAAACATTGTATTAAATGTTTAGTTTTACATGTATACTATTTTCAATATCCTTGAAGTTATAGCCTCTGAAAATATTTACAATTATGATTAAAATAATCTGGATCTACTTAAAAACATATGAGAATATATAAACAATGTGATTTTAAAACTTTCATTTGGTGCCATCAAGGATAAAAGCTTAAAGACCATTGCTGTACAGAAGTCTGTCTCCATGATATGGGATTTATTGCCATATAGAAAAGACAGTAAAACAATGCACTCAAGAGCCTGAACTCTAGAATAAAACAAGCTGTGTCCCCACCTTAATTTCTCTTATTTATTTTTAAATCTAACACAAGTTACTTGACTTTCCTGAACCTCTTTTTTTTTTTTCAAATTGGTGTAATGGAGATGATAAAGGTACTTAATTTGTTGGATCACTCTAAAGGGCATATAAAATTAATCATGTCAAGCTCATAGAAAAATATCTGCATACAGTAAAGGCCAAGTATATACAATCATACAAGTTTCATAGACAAAAGGGGAGGGAAGTGCATGTTCTTAGGCTATGCACCCAGTGGGGGGAGAACTTAGCCTAGTCTCCAAGAATAAGTGGAAAAAGCTCAAAAGGAGGGGAAAAAAATCACTAGCTGAAGGGTAGAAATCTAGTGAGTCACAATGGTGAAGGGACACAAATCATCAAATGTAGCAGTCAAGAGCTGCATCTTTAAAAACAAACAGATTGACAACAAAATAATCCTAGTTGCATAAAATTAGCTAGACCCCCCCCCGCCCAAATCATAGTGCCTTCACTGTGTGTATCCTACCTTTAATATTATTATCATCTTCCAGTTTCTGTTTGATATTTCTAAATTCTAAAATTTCATAATATGCCCTTGGCCATATTCCCCCTACTAGGTTGCTACTTATAATTTAATTTTGATAAATGGACTTCTTTGTCTGGTTCTGAATCTGAATTCTACCTGTTTTATGTTTTGCTTCAATGGACTGAACTGATATCTTCCTCTTCCCAGGGACTGTGTGAAAGAGAATGCAAAATAATAAGAGCTCAGGTTTTGAAGCTTAATTGATCAAAGTTAAAATCCCAACTCTACAATGCTCTGTGTCACTTAGGGAAACTTAACTTCTCTTGGCCTCAGTTTTCTCTTCTTTCCAGGAGAGATAATAATTTCTAATTGATAGAGTTGCTGAAAAGGTTGGAGGACATATGTCACCAAAAGCATTAGGCACAATTAATATTCAGAAAATAATGGCTCATATTATCATTATTCTCCCACTATTAGTATTTCTGATGCAATAAAAGGAACCATTTAATGGAGTTCTGATTAATTTTGAAATGAATAGTTGGCAAAATCACATTCTGATCTGATGTCTGCCAGACTTTGATATGGGAGGTCACAAATTATATGTTTTCTTTGGAACCAAAAACCAAAATTAAAAGTAACCACCAGAACTGGAAAGCAAGGAGACACATACAGGCTGGAAAGATCTGCTCTAAGTGCTATTAAAGACTGAAGTAAGAGTGACCATGCTGATTATTATAAAAAGGTCTTAATACTTTTCAGCATCTAAAGGAGAAATAATAGGCAGAAGCAACAGGAGGGAATATGATTGGCTCCACCTATTCCATCTGCTTAATCAGTCCACTGTACCCAGATTAACATCTTTCAATTCCACCAAGATTTATCAAATGCTCAGTGGGCATACAAAATATAAGGAATCTCAATACAGAATGAATTTTATTATATTATAGATTTTTATTACTTTGAATTAAGCACTCAAGTGTAGTTGCAAACCAAATGAGATAATCACTGAGATTTTCAATTATTAGTGCAAACTGATTTTTTCTTTTCAATTTTCTTTCTACCAACAGGATTTGCTAGTCCACTTACTGGGATAGCAGATGCCTCTCAAAGCAGTATGCACAATGCCTTGCATATCTATATGAATGGAACAATGTCTCAGGTACCGGGGTCTGCCAATGATCCCATTTTTCTTCTTCACCATGCATTCGTTGACAGGTTGGTTGACACTTTTCCAAAAATTACGTGCTTACTTGTGTTAAATGTAGTGGGACTTTATTACAGAAAAACTAAGAAATCAGCTTTTTCTATTGTCTCTGATCAAGTTCTCCCAGAAACAGACCCGAAATTAAGGATTTGAAAGCAATTGTTTTATTTAAGTGTTTTATTATAGAGAAACCAGTAAGAAAATGGGGGAAGGCAGGATAAGAAGGGGAAAAAAAACAAATAAGAGTGCAGTTTCAGTCAGATTTTGGTAGAGTGAATTACACCTAGGTTTGTCTTGCCTTAAGACAAGGGAGCTAAGTTTTTTCATTACCATATCAAATAGTCATTGGCTATAGGTTGCCCTGAGCTGTAAAGCTCCCGGTGCTAGCCCATTCCAGACAGGCTTCGAGGCTCCCGTGCCTAAGGGCAGTTTTCTGAAGGTTGCAGGACCATGTGGCTGGGAGTAAATTTAGCTTGTAGAATCAGAGTGGTGGGCACACAGAACAGGCACAGGGAATCTAAGGCCATCTGGGCAGGGCACAAATCTTCTACATCTCTCTTCGAAGTATTTTCTTTCTCTTTGGCAATGTTATTATTATTTCTTCTTTTCCAATCTCAGACTCTCACATAGAAGCAGATATAGTCTTTGATCTCAACCACTTGCCTGAGCATTATATGATTAGGTCTCCAGACATGATGCACTATGGCCCAGCTATCTTGTTTAATGTGATTTAATTCTCCTGGAGCCTTTTTCACCCTTATTAATGCTACATGTGTAATGCCTTATCCATAAAGAATTTAGACTTAATCATAGATGATGATAGCAAAAAAGAAAGTACCTGGAAGAAGGTCAGCTGTCTGTTTCTGGAATTCTTCAAGAAGAGAGGAAGAAGTAAAGCACTGAATCATAACAGATGAACGTAGGACTTTTTTTGATCCCCTCTCAGGTAATTTTCTCCAATGAAAAAAGGACGTAGATTCATACCTGCCATTAAGATAATAGTTTCCTTCTCTGTGGTAAATATAACAAGTTCTATTTTTCCTGTCTTAAAGATAAAGAAACTGACCCTGAAAATTAGTTGGTTTACTCATAGTATCACCATTTCTAACTCACTCATTTTCCCCAGGAACATGGATATAACATCAGATAAAAAAAAAAGCGACCATGAGCCTGGAAGGTTATTAGGCAGGTTGTTATTGTCTGCAGGGCAACTCTAATATTATAGGAATTAAGTGACAGCCCAAGTTAGTTTTATTCAGAAATCAGTTTTTTAAAAAGTGTATAAGCACCAAAATTATAATATTAATATGACATCTTAACTACCTGTACCTATATATAAAGGAGGGAGGAGGAGGCTTAGAAGAACGTCTTACCAGAAAAAAATAGATTGAATTCTTTTTATGAAGTCATTTTTACATCATATTGTCCTTGTGATTTTTTTGGCATTTTTTGATCTTTAGTGCCCCAGGAACTTTAAAGAAGTCCAGATTTCCTAGACACCTTGATGCCCTAGGCAGGAAATCAGCAAACTATGGCTATAGGACCAATCTGTCTCCTGCCTTATTCTTAAACAGGATTAGTTGGAACATAGCCACAATCATTCATTTATATATTGTCTATGACTTGTTTTTGCACGCTTTACAAAGGCAGAGTTATGACTGAAGCCATTTGGCCCACAAAGTGGAAAATATTTAGTTTCTGGCTCTTTATAGAAGTTTGCTGACCCCTGCCAAAGCAGAATTCCATATTTATATACCAGAAAAGAAAAAAAAAAAGTTGATCTCAAGCTAGCTTGCCTATATCTGTATTTACAGAGAATACTATAATTGAATTCAGTGTCTGGAGGCATGTTTGTTTAGCAGAGATAAAAACCATTATGTAGATGTATGTCTTTTAGGCCATTCTTGAAAATTAAAATTTTCTGCCCTCTTAGAATTCTCTGCTAATCCTATCTTACTATTAGATATCTGTATGATCATTAAAATAACTTAAAAATAATAAGCAAATGGCAAGGTAGTTTCTCACTCAGCCCACAGAGCCAAGCTGATGAAGATTCTGCGGATGGAGAGGAAGGAAAAAGAACCATTATGAAGGATAGAGACCCTTGGATCTCTTTCCTCTCAAGTGTCTTCTCAATCAGATTCACTGCCACTCAACTATTCACAAATATATTTATTGAGTACCCACTGCGTGCTGAGTATATTTGCCTAAATATTCCACATTCCCTCCCGCCTCCATGCATGGCTTATTCCATTCTCCTGGAACATATTTTCCTTTACTTATCTAATTTTTATGCAGTCTATAGGATTCATTTCAACTTTTACCTCCTCCATGAAGTCTATCCAGACCATGCCTGTCTATAACCATCTCTTCCATCCAGAAGTGTGCTGGACCCAACCCACATTGGCTAGCAAGATCTAATACGGACATCTTTTCTCAACTTTGCCTTAGTGACCTGAAACTGTAGTTTGAAATTAGCCATGGTGGGCCTGAAAAAGCATAGTCTAGTGGGAAATATAAACAAGTAAACAATGATAGTACATTAGGGCTTATGCACAATCATGGAAGACATTCTTAGAAAGCTACATAAAAAATGATGATGTAAGAGCCGAGTCCTGAGGCACAGCAGGCCTACAAGACAAGAATGAATGTTCAAGGATCAGGAGCACAACTCCTGTTTCCTTGAGACCAGTCACAAATGAGGAGTATGAACTGAAGAAGGAAATGCAAGTTTGGCATTCAAAACAAGAAAATAAGTCCCAAGGCTGATAGGAAGATAAGCTCAAGAGATTCCAGCAGCCACGCAGTCTGTCATCAAAATGTGCCAATGTTGGGAAAAGAAAGACGTAAGCTAATTCCAATTCTCTCTACCACTTAAAAAAAAAAATCATAGAATGGATTTAATATAACAATTTTAAAAGACAATATACATTTAATTTTTACTAGGTTTGAGGCAACTTTCAAAACTGTTCACAAGTTCTCTTTCATTCAGTTCATGCCAAGTCTATAATGTAGGTTCTAGTATTATTCTACTTTTAGTTTTAAAAAAAGAGTTGGAGATTATATAGCTTTTAAAGGACAGAGTTGAGAGTTAAACAATGTAATTTTACTAAAGAACTAGGTTCTTAACCTCTATGGGCAATTCCGTGGGGATTTGAAATATAAGTGTCTTTCTGATTGCTCTTACATTGAAGAAAAAACATTTCCATTAAAAATTAATTCATTCAAAAAATTAATTCTTTCAAATATATTTAAAATTTTTACTATATTCTTTAAATTTTTACTATATTCCATATACCATGCCAGATACCATACCTATTTTATTTGTTGAGATGAATACAAAGCCCTGACCTTAGGTGCTTACAGTCTTTCAAAAAAGAAAAAAAAATCGTAACAATGTGGTGCAGCCTATAAAAGAAGTATAGGGGTATATGAATCCAGAGAAGAAAAGGTTAACTCTGCCTTGAAAATTAAGCGCTTTCTAGAAAAACCTATCCTTCAATTTATTCATAAAGATGAGAAAAATTAGAGATATGATAAGGAAAGTAAGGAAGTATATGTCATGCTTAGGGAACAAAATTGGTAAATCATAAGATAGAGGAAATCATGTTGAAGAAATTTTATTTTGCCAGCCAAGAGAATAGGTTCCCATAAGTAGTAGCAAGATTTACATCAGATTTGAGGGCCCTGACATGTTCTTGGCTTCTTTGAAAGACTTCCTTTAAAGACTATATTGAAATGTTTTAGCTTTTATTTTTGTTTTCTTATAAATATTTTTTAAAAAGCAATATAAGGAGATTAAGGGAAATTACCTAAAATCCATCCTGCAATTTAGAAAATTCAGAAAAGTAAAGAAAGGAACAAATTAACAAGAGAATCCTCACTCCACCATTCCAATATACACTAAAGAATTGTATTTGCACATAATTCTGTACTTTTTTTCCTACTTAATAATCTCAGATATATTTCCACATCTGTACATGTAGAACTATTCCTTTCCTTTTGGAAGCTTTATAGAATTGCATTGTGTATCAAGAGAATGAGAATATAAGTCACAGACTATGAGAAAATAATTGCAAAACACATACCTGATAAAGGACTCAATCTAAAATATAAAAAGAACTCTTAATATTCAACAATAAGAAAATAATCCATTAAAAATTGGATCAAAGTCCTTAATAGATGCCTCACCAGAAAAGGTATACAATGGCAAGAAAGCATATGAAAAGATTCTCCAAATCATATATCATCAGGGAAATGCAAATTAAAACAATGAGATATATACCTATTAGGATGACCGAAATCTGGAACGCTGACACCACTAAACACTGATAAGGATGGAGATGGACAGGAGCTCTCAATCATTGCATGTGAAAATGCAAAATGATATGACTACTTTAGAAAATAATTTGGCAGCTTTTTATGAAACTAAACCTACTCTTACCATATGATCCAGCAATTATGTTCCTTGTTATTTACCCAGAGGCGCTGAAAACATATGTCCATGCAAATATCTGCACGTGGAAGCTTATATCAACCTTATTCATCATTGCCAAAACATGGAGCTAATCAAAATGTCCTTCAGTAGGTGAATGGATAAATAAACTGTGCTGCATCCAGACAATGGAATTCAGAGGAAAAAAAAGAAATGAGCTATCGAACCATAAAAAGACATGGAGGACACTTAAATATATACTATTAAGTAAAATAAACCAATCTGAAGAGATTATGTGTTATAGAATTCCAACTATATGACGTTCTGGAAAAGGCAAAACTATGAAGACTGTGGAACAATCAGTGGTTGCCAGAGATGAGAACAGGGTCAGATCGATAAGCAAAGCGCAGAGGATTTTTATGGCAGTGAAAAAACTCTCTACGATATTATAATGATGAATATAGGTCATGATACATTTTTCTAAACCCAGAGGATGTATACTACCAAGAGTAAACCTGTAGGTAAGCTTTGGACTCTGGGAGGTAATGATGTGCCAGCGTAGGGTCATCAGTTTTA